GGCCACTGCCCTGAACAGAATCCTGGGACACAGGATCTGGGTGACTATGGAAGCTGGGGACCCAGCGTGCCACACTGAGCCTCCTGTCAGCATGGGGACACCTGGGGAAGGGGTTACATGGAGTCCTGACCAGTGAGGCCCAGAGATCTATGGTGATGAGAGAAGATCAAATAGAACCTCTGTCCTGGTCCCCTCCCATCCTGGCCATGACGGAAAACACAGTCATAGTGTCCAGAAGTAACGGCAGACACCAGGGCCATCCTCAAATGTGGAAGGCTGCAGGAATTTGGGTCCACCTCGAACCCCCATTTAATTCACCCCTTGTCCCCATCAAACCCAGATGGACCTTGACAGATGACAGGGGCCTCTGCAGCTCCCCCAGGAGAGGTCATCCTGCAGCTGCTGTGCTGGACGTGGAATCCTGGCTACAAGGAGGACACGGGTCCTAGGACTTTGGTTATGTGGCCACTGAGCGGGTGAATGCAGTCCCCGGTCCCCACTGGAAAGGAGGCCGAGGAGTTCCCACTGACAGAGGACGTCCAGAGCCCAGGGGGAGCCTGCCGGGGCCTGCAGCCTGCTGCCCTGCCGTAATCAGTATCAGCTGAGTGGGGCCACGCCGCCCTCCCCCAGACCATCCCTGCGCCAGAGGAAGAGGGAAGATGTGACGAGGACATTGGAAGAACGACCTCCCGGGGGAGTAGATGACCCCAGGAAGGCCCAGCTCTGGTCTCAGGTGTGAAGTTTCTAGGAATCCAGGTTCCGGGCTGTCAGACCCCTCCAAATAAAGCCAGTGCCTCCCACCTCCTGTCACTCAGGAAGAGCCACAGGGTTGCTAGGCGCGTTGTCAAAGTGACATGTTGCTCAAGCATGATTCCCGGGCATTAACATGGGGCGATGTCGTGCTGGACAGGAAGCCCAGGGCCCAGGGCCGGCTGATGGCCCAACAGACCCTCCGGTCAGAGGTGTGTGGTGAGAAAGTGCCCTGCTCAGAGTTCACGGGGCCCCCACGGGCGAGTCCCAGTGCAGCCCCCAGGGACTGGAGCAAGGTCAAGGCATCGACAGAAAAGAACAGAGGGTCCCAAAGCAGCATCCAGCCCGTTATCGGGTCACAGAGGAGAGGAACTACAGGGCCACAACACACAGAGTGACCCACCAAATCAGATCAGGGACACCAAACAGCAATCGATTCCAAAATGGAGCTGACGGGTGCAGGATCCGGGCCAGGCAGGACCAGGGGACACTGAGGCTTCTGGAACAGGGGTCCTGCTTCCCTGACGGGCACAATGTCAAACCAGCGCCTGTTCTGCTCAGTCCCGTGGCCCCACGGCAGGTACCCTCAGGACCAATGGTGGAGAATGAAAGGCCAGTGCATGGTCCACGGGTGGACTGGCTCCCAGGAGGCTAAGGAGAAAGGACAGGAGTTCACAGCTGAATCCAGGGGCCGGACACACCGGAGGGAGGCAAGATTCCCAAGGGCACAGGTCCAGGTGGCAAAGGAAATAGTCCACATGAGAAATGGGAAGTAGCCCGAGGTGACCAGATCTGGACACAGGAGCAGTGGTACCGCCCTGGCACTTGGTCAGCAGCCTGAGAGATGAAAGCTGAGGTGATGCTGGTGAGGACACCTGGGACCAAGGCATATGGATGGGCTGAAAGAGCCTTGTAGCTCTCTGTTGCTATAGCAAAATGCCTTAGGTTGAGTGCTTTATAAGCCAAAATGGATCATTTCACTCATAGTTTTAGAGACCGAAAGCCCAAGATGGAGCTGCTCCATCCATTTGGCCTCGGGGAGGGCCCTGCCATATATCACAACGTAGGGACGACATGGAAAGGGACTCAGCAGTACTCAGAAGCGGGTGCACAGATAGAGGGACCTCCCCTCATACCAACCAGATCTCTCAAAAGCAAACTCACTCTGCAAAGCCAGAATTAATCCCTGCGGAGGGCAGAGGCCCAACATCCTAACCTCCCCCCACGAGGCCACATCTCTTAAAGGCCCCACCACCGCCCCCCATTGCCACACTGGGGACCAAGCTTCCAGGACCTCAGTCTTTGGGGATCCACTCAATGCACAACAGAGAGGGGGCTCAAAGTGTAACGGTCCTTTACTTTTCACGTCCTGGTCCCCAGAGAATCTAGCACCAAGTGGCACTCATCAACCAGGAGAAATCGTGGCTGGGCCAGTCGCTGACATCCCAGCCCGTCATCAGCCACGGCTCAGAACCGAGGGCACAAGACTGAGCAGCTGTGGTGACAGTTGAGGGCCAGTGTGGACCAGTGCTCGAGCCCCCGGGCACCAGGCTGTCACAGAGCCGCTGCTGAGGCGGAGCCTGCCGGGCACAGGTGTCCAGGAGCCCAGCCTGCACACAGGAGCCTCTGCCCTGGAAGGGCAGGGGGCACCTGGCCTGGCATAAGCCAGCCATGGCTGTGCCCTTCCTGACCTCGGGCCTTGGCCAGGAAGAACCCGAGGGTCACGGAAACCTGATGCGCGACAGACGTGCAGAACCTCAGCAGGGCTGAGACACACTCCTTACAAAGGAAGCCGAGCAGTGGCGGGGGCTGGGCCTCCTGCTCCTCCCAGGCCCCTGGGTAGAAGCTCATGGCCCCTCAGAGCCATCAAGCGACCTCTTAGAGGTGCAGCTTGGGTGACAGGTTGGCAGTGAGACTCTGTGAGGCAGACCGCACCTTGGCGTGGATCTGGGCTGGGCCTCCCCCAAGGCTTCCTGTGTGGACAGTGAGCCCCACTGTGAGGTGTGGAGGGCAGAAACGGATCCGACCTACCATGGTGCTGCTAAGGTGGGGGTGTGAGGCGTCCCCCAAACGCTCACGTGTGAGACGATGCCAGAAGGTCCAGGGGAAATGATGGGGTCGTGGGAATCTTAGAGTCATCAGTGAGGTGACCCCCTGATGGCATTCACTGGGGCGTAGCTGGAGGAGGTGGGCATAGGGTGGGGGATCGGGGTCTGTACCTGCATCTGGAGAGTGGAGTCTCTGCTTCCTGATCACCACGTGAGCCGCTTCCCTCCACCACCCTCTCTGCCACCATGTCCTGACGCACCTGAGCCCCCGGGATGGAGCCTGCTGTCCCTGGACCAAGAGCCCTGAAGCCCCGAGCCCTCAAATAAGCTCTCCCTCCTCCACAGTTGTGCTAATTGGGTCTCCTAGTCACTGTGGTGTCGAGAGGTGGGCCCCAGGAAGGGACTGGGAGGAGGTGTGGACCCAAGATTGGAACATGGTGATGGAACTCTCACGGTTTGGAAGAGGGACAGACGGTGGAGGACCCCAGGTGCAGGAGCACCTCCCGGCCATGTGCCAACTCAGGGCTTGGCCAACAAGAAGGCCGTCGGCAGAAGGAACCCTGGCACTTGGGAGCAGCGTCTGAACTTACTGTGCTTACAAAGGAGGCCTGGCCTCGGGTATTTCATTATAATAGCCAACACCAAGGAGCACACCGAGGGACGCCCATAGCTCTCAGAGGGACCCTCAGTCTCTCATTAGGGTCCCCAGAATATAGACAAATGAGCCTGGGAATCAAAGGGTGAATACCAGAGGGGCGTTGCTGATCATAGCCCCCCCTGACACCTTAGGGATCCCCCAGAGGAGGCTCAGCGGCTGGAGAGGCCGGCGCTCCCAGAGGAGTAGAATTTCTACCTAGAACCCGCCAAGTGTGCCAGTGGACACGAAGGTCAGCTGGTGGCCCGTCGCGGTACTCTTCTTCCAAATGCCCAGCGAGGGAAGAGAGCAGCCAACATCTGTCAAGTACACCTGTCCCTGGTCACCAGGTGGAGTGGGGCTGTAGCACGAGAGCAGGGAAGGATATGTTCAGTGCCCTGTCATCAGCTGGGGACACATTGGTCGTGCGACTGACCATGTTCAGTGAAAAGGTAGGGAAGATCATGATGACCAGGGCTTGACCATTCACGTACAAGGGTCGGGGTCACCCAATCACAAGCCTCCTGACCCGTGGAGGAAGGAAGGAGGGTGAAGGGAACGAGAATGTGCTGAGGAGGGGACTGTCCCACCATCCCCTCACACTTCACTTCAAAAACATCCTCAGCTGTAGCCGGACACTGTACGTTGGTTGCTGTTGATTTTTGTGTGACGCTGAGGGTTGAAGCCTGGCCTCCCACACTCCAGGCCAGCGCTCTCCCACTGAGCCCAGCCCCAGGCCTCCCCTCCATCCTGAGGGGCCAGGACCACCAGGACACACACACAATGACACACAATGACATACATGACACATAGTCACCAAGTGTTGGGACAGGCTGCACGAGGGCTCCCAAGAAGCCAACCAGCCCAGCCCTGGAACTTCTGACAAAGGGACATAAAGGGTATTTAAGGCTTGCGGACTTTAACTAGGGACACTGTCTTGGTTGGGTGACGGCGTCCCACCCAGGCACAGGGGCCCTTAAGACCAGAGGATGCTCTTCAGCCACAGGCTGAAGAGAGGAGGGGGAGAAAGGGGCAGAGATCCCAAGCCTGGAAGAGGGGGCAGGGCTGTGCTCCCTGAGGGGCAGCATCACTGGGGCAAGGACCAGGACCAGGCTGCCATCCTGCTGCGGTGCCAACAGAGGCCTCAGTCCTGAGCACCAGGGAGCAGCTTGTGGCCCCTGCCCGCGACCTGGGAGGGCTCCCTGCAGGGTCCCAGGGCAGCCCAGGGGACACTCTGACTTCTGCCCAGGAAACCAGGACCCCACAGTCCGACCCCCTGGCTCCCACGACAGACCCCAGACAGGTGACAAGGGGCTGTGGGGAGCTGCAGGTGGGGGAGACAGAGATGGCCACCAACAGGACACACACGGACACGGGGCTCACAGGAGAGCCTGGGACTCGCCGTTTATTTGCACAATGTTTACAAAAGTAGAAAAATAAACACTTCACTGGGTCTGAGAGTCACACAAATAAATAAGGCCACGTGGAAGGCTGGGGACAATAAATTAAGGAGTGTCGTCGCTGACAGATGAGACCTGAGATTCCTCGACGGCTCAGCAGGGTGTGGGTCAGACGCACAGGTGTCCACTGGCCACACACTTCAGGTCGCGCATCAGCAGGCGGAGGAGGTTGAAGGTGACAGAGGCCTCGAGGCAGGCGGGGGACTCCTGTGGGGACGAGAGGCTCAGTGGCTGCCGTGGCCAGGGCCAGCTGCTCCAGCCTCCGTCCTCTGACACCCACTCACCTTCTCGGGGGCCTGCTGCAGCCTCTGAAGCCAGTGGGACAGGCGGTGGCGGTGGCGACCCTGGGGCCTGGGGCCTGCTGTGGGCTGAGCCAGGGCCTGTGGGCAGAGGAGGGCGTGTGAAGTGGGCCTGGGCACAGGGGACGTGCGGGTGTCACAGCCATGACCCAGCCGCCCAGGACCCCAGGACTCACACAGGCCTGCAGCTGGGACTGGATGTGGCCCAGCGTGTGAAGGGGCTGGTCCAGGACGTCCCCCAGGGTCGAGTTGGCCATGGTCCCCAGGACCCGCAGCGTCAGGGCCAGCTCTGCCTGCAAGGCCACAGGGCGCTCCCACACCTGAGGGGGACAGAGACAGTGAGAGGTCTCCCTGAGAGAGCTGGGAGGGACAGGGAGGGAGGGCAGGGAGAGGAGGGGGAGGGGCAGGGAGAGGGCACAGCAGGCAGGCAGGCAGGACTGGGGAGGGACAGTGGGCAGGGAGGGAGAGGGACCGGTGAGAAGGACAGGGTCCCTGGGAGGCGCTGAGTGGGCCCCGGAGGCCAGGCTGGCCTGGCTCTGCCAGCTCACCTGCAGCTGCCGCAGGTCCCAGGGCCTGGGGAAGAGCGGGGAGCGGCACTCGAGGTCCTTGAGCAAGAGGGACTCCTCCTGGGGAGCAAGGGCACAGGTTAGCCCACACTGGAGGGCGAAGGCTGGACCACAGCAGGGGCCTGGAGGGGCCAACGGTAGGAAGAGGGCAGGTTCCCTCAGGGGAAGAGCAGGCTCCCTGCGAGAGAGACCTCAGGTCGCCCAGAGCAGCCAGAGCGGGAGGGAGCCCAGGGTGGACAGGGCAGAGGCCAGCCCTGCAGGGAGGCTGAGGGCCACCCACAGAGCTGCACGGGGAGGCCCAGGGAGAAGGCCAGGGCACAGGCAGGAGGGACAGGGACACTCACAAAGGCGTCTCTGGCCTTCCTGAAGGCCTGCAGCTCCCGTGGGGCCAGAGTCTTGAACTGGGCCATGTCACAGTCCCTGGCATCTGGGTGGGCGCTGAGGGGACTGGGCACAGGAACTGCCCGTGTCCTCGTCAGCACCGCAGACGTCAGCGTCAGGAGGAGCCAGCAGCCTGCAGCCGTGCCTGGACCACGGGAGGACAGGGTCAGGGGCTGGGGATGCGAGGACAGAGCGGGGACTGGGGACGGTGACCCGGGCCACGCTGTGGGGCTCACCCAGCTTCATCCTCGGGTCTGGTGGCCGTCAGCGATGGGAACACAGGGTGCGCCTGCGGCTGTGTCCAGGCTCTCTCCCGAGGTCCTTGGGTCTGGGTGCTGCAGTGTCCCCAGCTTCTGTCCCCGTGGTGCAGGATGGACTGTCCCTGCAGCTCCATGGGGCAGCTTTTATCCCTGCTCAGGGCAGCCCCAGCTGATGTAGGAAAAGCGAAAATGCGCCCAGGCCTGCGCTGGCCACCAGGGGAGCCCAGGCTGGGGAAGCCCGGGGGCGGGGCCTCGCACAGGTGAGCAGCTGAAGCGAAAGGGAAAGGGACAGGGACTCAGCCTGGCCACGGCAGGAGACTCCCAGGGAACCCTCAGCCCTGGGGCGGCCCCGAGTCACAGGAAGGGGTTCTGGTGGCTGCTGGGAGGGACCCAGGACTGGGGTGCACAGAGAGATGGGGACCAGCCTCGGGCAGGATGTCCCTTGCAGGGACGAGATGGCAGGGCACCCCAGGGAGCGGCTGCCCTGAAGATTGCAGCTTCCCACAGGGCGGGGAGGGGGCAGGGTGGAGGCTGCTGGCGGGAGGGTCAGGAAGGGAAGGTCCAGAGTGAGGAGGCCAGAGCACCCCACCCCTCTCCACCTGCTGCCCAGAGCAGGCCAGGGACAGAGCCCTGGAAAGAACTCGAAACTGTCCTTCCTGAGCACTGTTCCTTGCAGGGGCAATTGGCAACTGGGCAGCTGCCCTGTGCTGTATCAAGTTACAGAAAACAAAACTGGAGAGGCAGGGGCACAGCAGGGCGTGTGCAGCAGGCAGGTCCTGAGGAGAGGCTCTGAGCACAGAGCCAGGGGAATGAGGGACGGAGCCCACTCAGGGAAGGAGAGCCACCCCTTGTGCTGAGCCCTGTCATGTCCAGCTTTGCTCCAGATGCTTCATCTCACCTGGCACTGGACATGCACATTCGCACCCAGGGAGCACTGTGGCTTGCCTCCTTTTGCAGTAAGTAGCACACTGCAGAATCTCAGAGAGGTTAAGAGACCTGCCTAAGGACACACAGCAAGGAAGCCGTGAGGTCAAGACTATGAGTGTTTCCTCTGACACTTGGAGGCCAATCCCAGTCTCCCTTGTGGTTGGGTCTCCTGGACCTAGAGCTCATGACTGTGAGAAAAGACAGTCCTCTGTGACACTTGCCTCCATCCCAAAACCTATGTCCTTCATTCACACTTCCAGGAAACGGATACACAGTCACACTCTCTGAGCTCTGATTCATACAACGGCTTCCAAATGGAGAGCAGGATATGCCCAATGCACCTCCCAGTTCAGTTTCCAGTACAGGAGCCTTAATCCTGCCTGGAGGAGACACTGTACCCACTGCAAATCTGCACATTGTCACAGATTGCAAATCCCTTGGCACCACACTGCTTTTGTCTGTGTGAGTGTGAGTGTGTTAGTGTGAGTGTGAGTGTGTGGTGTGGGGATGGGACCCAGGGCCTTGCCCATGTTGGCCACTGCTCTGCCACTCTTCCACATGCCCTGTCATCTGCTTGGACAGTCAGCCCAGGCAGTGACCTGCAATCGCTCTGGAGCTCAAGGCCCTTAAGAGCTGTGTGGCCTTGGGGAGGAGGCTGCAGGTGGCAGCCAGGAGGGCTAGTCCCCTGGTTCGGACAAAGAGCACTAATCCGAGTATTTCTGTACCTGTGCGCAGGCTCCTTTGATGGAGGTCATTTGGGAAGACCCCGAGGATGTCAGCAAGGACCTTAGAAACACCACTTGCAGGTGTGCTGCTCCTTTGCAAGAGAAGCAGCCGCCCTCTCTGTGCAGATGGGGAGACTGAGCCTCCCACAGATCTCACTTTCCTGGAGTAGCTCTAATTGAATGGCAGGGTCAGAATTGACACTCTTGTCCCCCGATTCTGGGCATTCAGTCCTTCTTGCTGTCGAGGGCGAGTCCAAATGAAAACACAGAACAGAAAAGATGGAAGGCAACACTGTGTATGAACTGTAATAAATTAACAACAGGGGTCAGGAGCGCTAACAGGGACTTCACAGTAGAAGGAACACACATGTAACAGAGTCCAGGGAAGACACTAATCCAGGACCAGGTGCCCTTCACTCCCCAGTTCCTTCAGGAATGGGGGCCCTTTGGATGTCGGTCAGAGACTCAGAGATTCAGACTCTCAAGGCGGCTTCCAGGGTCCCAATCAAGGGACACGATTCCTGAAGTGGGTTGAGGTTCCTGGCAACCTCAGTGTTGAAGGCAGCGAGGGTCGTGCCCAAGTTCAAGGCTGTTCAGTGCCACAAGCCACTGGAAAAACTCCAGGTCATTCATCCACGATAAAGCCCCGCATCCTGGGGACCCACAACTTCTCTCAGGGAAGAGCGGGTGCCAGTGGGTCCTGGTGGGGCCAGTGTCTGGAGCCTCAGCGTCCATTGGCCAAGAGACATGCCCGGTCTAGGGCCCAGCATCCAGTGGCTCCAGGTTCGGGATCCCAGCAAAGCCCAGCAGGTCAGACACAGGGTCCCGAGTGCGCCACCAGCCTGAGGTCCCGCGTGAGCAGGCGCAGCAGGTTGAAGATGACAGAGGCTTCATGGCAGCGAGGCGAGTCCTGGAAGCCGGCAGGAGTCAGGACTGTCCTTCCCCAGGACCTCCTGGACAGGGCCCCGTCGCCCCCAGGCTCCTGGTTATCTTTCCACCCGCTGCTGTCCCCTCGGTGGGAGCCCTGCACTGCCCGCTGCACTCACAGCTCTGCGTGGTTTGTGACGCCTCCGCGGTGGCCTGGGGGACTTCCTCCTGGAGCCCTGCGGGATCAGCTGGAGCTGCAGGGGCGACGCGGGTCAGTGGGGAAGCCGCCGGCCCCTAACCAGACCCAGACCCAGATTTCTTGGGCACCACGAGGACGAGGACGAGAATCGCTGTCACTCACGCAGGTCTCCAGGTCGCGTCCCGCGGCCACCAGCAGCTGCAGGGTCTGGTCGGTGCCAGGGAGCATCTCCGGGTGTCGCAGGCCCCTCAGCACCTCCTGGGCGTCCGCGATGCTGCGGGCCACGTGGCGCAGCCCAGCACAGGACTGTGGAGACCCGATGGCAGTTAGAGTCGCCGCGCCAGCGCCCCGCGCCCCCTCCCAGGCACCTGGCCTCACCGAGGGCCGCGGATGGTCCCTCCGGGGGCGGAAGGAGCAGTTGCGCGGCCTCCAGCTCAGGGTCTCTTCCTCCTGCGGGACAAGCGTCAGGTGAGGCTGACACCTAATCGCGGAGCCCGCGAGGATGTGGGGACGCGGCGCGGGTCTGGCCAGGTGGCCCCCCCCCCCCCCGTGGTCCCCTGGGCGCAGCAGCTCTGCGACGCGGGGGCGGGGCTGAGATGTGCCCCGCGCTCCCTCGGCCCCGCCCAGCGCCGCCACCGGGACCCCCCGCCGCCCAGCGCGACGTGTCCCTCCGCTGGCGCCCAGCCTGGGTGGTGCTGGAGCTCGGGCTCTGGGGAGCGTCCTGCTCAGAATCCTGCAGCACAGTCCCAGAGGCGAGGCTCAGCGCTGGTCGCTGGGGCGCTGGGGACATGGATGGGTGCGCGCTGGCCGCTGGTGGGCTCAGGGCTGGGCGCAGGGCTGGAGGGCGGTCCCCACTCACATAGCTGTCCCTCAGCGCCTTGACTGCCGCCAGCGCCTTCGGGTCCAAAAAGCGGTAGTGCGACAGCAGGCAGAGCCTGGGCACTGTCCCCCTGGAGTCCGACGCCACACCCAGTGTCCACAGGACCCACAGCCACAAGGCCACCCAAAAAGCTCCGCTCCTGGGCCTCATCTCTG